AGTAGAGACGGGGTTTCACCATGTTGACCAGGATGGTCTCGATCTCTTGACCTCGTGATCCACCCGCCTCGGCCTCCCAAAGTGCTGGGATTACAGGCTTGAGCCACCGCGCCCGGCCCTCGATGTTTCTTAATGCGTGGCAACTCTCATTTTGCTTAACACAGCCCATCATAAACCGTAGCCTGCGATGCGACAACCATACAAAGGGCGTTCTGCAGCTGCTGGGAGGCAGGTCAGTGCTGGGCACCGGCAGTGCCCAAGCCGAGGGGCGTTCACACCGCTGAGGGTTCACACCGCAGCCACGCCCCGGCTGCGCTTACGGACGCGTCCGGCCGGGACGCGACCCCCAAACCCGGCCGCAGGCGCCCTAGGAGGCCAAGGGCCAGTGCCTGCCCCTTCCTCAGGCCTAGAGTCGCTTCCCTGCTTCTCTTCCTGACCCCTCCCCCAAGCAAGGCTGCCCAGAAGCCTGGGGCGCCCCCAGGACCCTCGCGGTGGGCTCACCCAGGCTCCTACGCATCGGCACTCCAGCTCTCCCGCCCTCGGCGCCAGGCACCCAGGCCAAAACCTGAGGTGCGTCTTCCCTCCGCCACCCCCAAACTTGAAAAGTCATCGCCCCTCCCCGACTGCTCCCCGACACCGGAATGACACCCCGCCCGGCCCTGTCTTCGCTCCTGGACGCCGTAGGACTTCCAGCCCTTGGCCACTAAGCCCCAGAACCCGGACGGGAAGAGGCCGGAACGAGGGAGGGGGCGCGTTGCCATGACGACCCCGGGAGCCCCCGAGTCCCAGGCAGTCCCCGCCCATGCGGGGCTGGGGCCGCTGTTCCGACTGGCGAACTCAGCGTCCTCCACAGCTCCCAGTCCACCCCGTCCGACCGCGGCCCTTAGCCCGGGGTCAAGGACCGAGCGTTCCCTCTCGGCCCGCTCTCCTTACCCATGGCGGCGGTGGCGGCGGCGGTGGCGGCGGCGGCGGCGGCGGCTGCTGCGCGGTCTCGGGCCGGGGCTCCCTGGGCCTGGCCAGCAGCTCCCTCCAGGCGCTCGGCGGCCGCCACCGCATCTGCAGCCAGGCACGCTGCGGCCCACAGCGCCCCCGGCGGTGGGAGGACGCCCGGGCGGCCCCAGGAGGAGCGGCGCCCCGGGTGGGGCGGGGACCACCGAGCCTGCAGTGGGCGGGAGAGCAAGCCCGCCCTCTCTAAGCCTCTCGCATCCGCTGGGACCTTGAGGAGAAGGAAAAGAACCTGTGACTGTGAGTGTGAGGAGCCAGAGTGCTGGGCCCTCGGTCCCGCGCCCCGGGGACTTCGCCGGAGTGCAAGGGCCGGATTGCAAGCGGCTGCGGCCGCACGAGAACGTTGCCTCCACTTGGCTGGCGGAGCCTGATGGAACACACCTGACCACTGCCCATTCACCTTCACGGACGCACAGGGGATCAAAAGAATTTAGAAAATCTGTAGCAATTAACAGGCAGAAACCTACTAAAACTAGTTAGACCCAAATAATGACGCTTAAACCAATAAATACACCGGTTTATAAAAAGCAGTGAGCAACCAGTCTCGTTAATCAAGGGGAAGAGAGATTGCCGTGAAGCTAGCGTTTTCTCATTTCCGGAAGGGAAAAAAAATGAAACCTTCATGGTCAGGTAGATGATACTAGGTTTAAGTTATACCCGTTTGGGAAAGTGAACTATTACCTAGTTGTATCTGCCGCTGTTGAGACTAGAACTGGGCTACAGGTCCAGATATTTTGTGAAAATGGGACAATGTTTTTCTCCATCGCTTTAGCCAGTATAAAGTTGTTTTTTTGCTTTTAAATTTTATTGTGAGATAATCATACTTAGATAAAAATGTATAAAACAGGCCAGGCGCGCTATCTCATGCTTGTAATCCTAGCATTTTTGGAGGTCAATGCAGGCGGATCACTTGAGGTCAGGAGTTCGAGACCACCCTGGCCAACATGGTGAAACCGCATCTTTACTAAAAATATAAAAATTAGCCGGGCGTGGTGGTGCGCGCCTGTAATCCCAGCTACTCAGGAGGCTGAGACAGGAGAATCGCTTGAACCAGGGAGGCAGAGGTTGCAGCAAGTCCAGATTGCGTCCACTGCACTTCAGCCTGGGCAACAGAGCAAGGCTCTGACTCTGGCGCCCCCCCCCCGCAAAAAATACAGTTTAAAGACTCATTATAAAGTGAATAGCTGGCCGGCAGCGGTGGTTTACCCCTGTAATCCCAGCACTTTGGGAGGCCGAGATGGGCGGATCACCTGAGGTCGGGAGCCAACCTGACCAACATGGAGAAATCCTGTCTACTAAAAATACAAAATTAGCCAGGCGTCATGTCGCATGCCTTAATCCCAGCTACTTGGGAGGCTGAGGCAGGCGGATCGCTCGAACCCAGGTGATGGAGATTCCAGTAAGCCGAGATCATGCCATGGCACTCCAGCCCAAGCAACAAGAGAGAGACTTTGTCTCATAAAATAAAAATTAAAATAAATAAAGTGAATAGCTGGGCAACCATCACTTGAATGGAGCATAGAACAGAGCCACCCTTCCCAGGAAATGCCCCTAAGCCCCAGTCACAATCCCCCAGTGATAAATACTATTTGGACTTCTGTAAGAATAATTTCCTTGCTTTTCTGTACATTAACACCACCTAAATTGTGTGCCCATAAACAACCTAGCTTATTTTTGCCTGTTTACAAACTTCTCACAAATAAAATGATACCGTGTGAATTTTGGTACTTGTTTTTTTACCATCATGTGTCTGAGATTCATCTAAGTTCATGAGGAATTTCTAGTTTAGGTTATTTGCAGGTTGTGCGTCCCTCCTGCTGTGCGTGTGCAAGAAAATCTCTAGGGCATAAACTGAGAATAGAATTACTGCTGGGAAATAAGGTATGCCCTATTTTAAATTTATTAGATGATGCTTGTTTTCTTCCTCCTCCGCCTCCTCCTCCTCCTCCTTTTTGAGACAGGGTCTCACTCACTCACACAGGCTGGAGTGCAGAGGTGTGATCTGGGCCCACTACAACCTCGGCCTCCCCATTTCAAGAGATTCTTGTGCTTCAGCCTTCTGAGTAGCTGGAATTGCGGACGTGCGCCACCATGCCTAATTTTTGTAATTTTAGTAGAAATGGGGTTTCACCGAATTACCCAGGCTAGTCTCAAACTCCTGGCCTCAAGTGATCTACCTGCCTCAGCCTCCCAAATGCTGGGATTACAGGCCTGAGCCACCGCACTCAGCCTGGGATCTGTATTCTACGTGCTTTTAGAAGAGCTAAGAAAACTAAGTACATATTTGATTACTTTATAGAAGCATGAGACCAATGGAAAAGAGCTCTACTTTTTTTTTTTTTTTTTTTTTTTTTTTTGAGACGGAGTTTTGCAATTCTTACCCAGGCTGGAGTGCAATGGCACGATCTCGGCTCACTGCAACCTCCGCCTCCTGGGTTCAAGCAATTCTCCTGCCTCAGCCTCCCCAGTAGCTGGGACTACAGGCGCGCGCCACCATGCCCAGCTAATGTTTTGTATTTTTAGTATAGACGGGGTTTCACCATGTTGACCAGGATGGTCTCCATCTCTTGACCTCGTGATCCACCCGCCTCGGCCTCCCAAAGTGCTGGGATTACAGGCTTGAGCCACCGCGCCCGGCCTAACTTTTATATTTTTAGTAGAGATGGGGTTTCACCATATTGACCAGGATGGTCTCGATCTCTTGACCTTGTGATCCACCCGCCTTGGCCTCCCAAAGTGCTGGGATTACAGACGTGAGCCACCGCGCTTGGCTGAGCTCTACTTTCTAGGTTGCTGTCTCCCCAGGGACTTTATAGGCCCAGGAAGGAAGTATTGACCTCATTTAATTTTCATATGGTCTTTTGCCCTCTTGCTGGGGTCCTGGGCATTGCTTTGAATCCTTATTTTGTGTTTTACGGGAGCCTAATAAATACCAATAGATGGGAAGGAAGGAAGAGAGGAAGGGCAGAGGGAGGAAGAAAAAATGAGCCAAGTTTAATTCAGCAACAATCTTTAAAGACATTTCCGGGCCGGGCGCGGTGGCTCAAGCCTGTAATCCCAGCACTTTGGGAGGCCGAGGCGGGTGGATCACAAGGTCAAGAGATCAAGACCATCCTGGTCAACATGGTGAAACCCCGTCTCTACTAAAACTACAAAAAATTAGCTGGGCATGGTGGCGCGTGTCTGTAGTCCCAGCTACTCAGGAGGCTGAGGCAGGAGAATTGCCTGAACCCAGGAGGCGGAGGTTGCGGTGAGCCGAGATCGCGCCATTGCACTCCAGCCTGGGCAACAAGAGCGAAACTCCGTCTCAAAAAAAAAAAAAAAAAAAAAAAAAGACATTTCCCCCTTTGAGGCAGATATTCTTCAGCTCCAAAACACGCATTTGTGGGATACTCTAGACCCCTTGTTTCGAACAGAATTGGAATTTAGTGTGTGTATGTGTTTAAACTACACTTAACAGGGTTGAAGCTGAGAGTGTTAACCTATTCTAAACCTGTGATCTACTAAAGTTAAGAATTTAGATTTTTTTTTTTTTTTTCTGAGATGGAGTCGCGCTCTGTTGCCAGGCTGGAGTGCAGTGGCTCGGTCTTGGCTCACTGCAGCCTGTGCCTCCCAGGTTCCAACAATTCTCCTGCCTCAGCCTCCTGGGTAGCTGGAACTACAGGCACTGGCCACCATGCCCAGCTAATTTTTGTATTTTTAGTAGAGACGGGGTTTCACCATATTAGCCAGGCTGGTCTCAAACTCCTCTGCCTCCCAAAGTGCTAAGATTACAGGTGTGAGCCACTGCGTCCGGCTGAATTTAGATTTTTTAATGTGCCAATATAATTGTGTAACAAAAATAATTTTTAAGACCTCATCACATGCTGAAGTATATGAGGTAAAATTAAATGAAGTCTGGAATTTGCTTTAAAATATCTCAGCAAAGCCTGGGCGCAGTGGCTCACACTTGTAATCCCAGCACTTTGGGAGGCCGAGGTGGACAGATCACGAGGTCAAGAGATCAAGACCATCCTGGTCAACATGGTGAAATCCTGTCTCTACTAAAAATACAAAAAATTAGCTGGGTGGGGTGGCGCGCACCTGTAGTCCCAGCTACTGGGGAGGCTTGAGGCAGGGGAATTGCTTGAACCTGAGAGGCGGAGGTTGCAGTGAGCAGAGATTGCCCCACTGTACTCCAGCCTGGCAACAAAGCAAGACTGTCTTTAAAAAAAAAAAAAAACCTCAGCAAAGAGTCCAGGTGGAGTGACTCATATCTGTAATTTCAGCACTTTGGGAGGCCGAGGCAGGTGGATTGCCTAATGTCAGGAGTTCGAGACCAGCCTGGGCAACATAGCAAAACCCCCATCTCTACTAAAAGTACAAAAATTTGCTGGGTGTGATGTCAGGCGCCTGTAATTCCAGCTACTTGGGAAGCTGAGGCAGGAGAACTGCCTGAACCTAGGAGGAAGAGATTGCAGTGAGCCGAGATTGTACCACGGCACTCCAGCCTGGGCAAAAGACCAAGGCCCTGTCTCAAAAAAAAAAAAATCTCGGCAAAGAAAAAAAGGGAAGATGTTTGAAACAATTACAGCAAAATTTTGTAATTATTGAATTATTGAATATGGGTGATGGGTAATTATTGAATATGGGTGATGGGTATCATGAGCTTATTGTGCTATTCTACTTTTTTCTCTTTAAAAATCTTTATGTACATCCCTGTAAGCACAAAAAGGCAATAAAAAATAAATAAATAAAATAAAATAAAAAGCTTTATAAGGCTGTACACATTGGTTCACACCTATAATCCCAGCACTTTGGAAGGCAGAGGCAGGCAGATCAGTTGAGGTTAAGAGTTGGAGACCAGCCTGACCAACATGGTGAAACCCCGTCTCTACTAAAAATGCAAAAAAAATTAGCTGTGAGTGGTGGCAGGTGCCTTTAATCCCAGCTACACGGGAGGCTGAGGCAGGGAGAATTGCTTGAACCCAGGAGGTGGAGGTTGCAGTGAGTTGAGATCATACCACTGCACTCCAGCCTAGGCAACAGAGTGAGACTGTCTCAAAAAAAATGCTTTATCATTTTTTAGAGACCGGGTCTTGCTATATTGCCCAGGCTACAGTATAGTGTTTATTCAAAGGAACCATCTAGCACACTACAGCCTTGAACTTCTGGACTCAAACGATCCTCCCACCACAGCCTCCTGAAAAGCTGGGACTATAGGTACATGCCACCTCACCTAGCTGTTTTAAAATAATTTTTTTTTTGAGATGGAGTCTTACTCTGTCGCCCAGGCCAGAGTGCAATGACGTGATCTTGGCACACTGCAACCTCTACCTCCTGGGTTCAAGTGATTCTCCTGCCTCAGCCTCCCAAGTAGCTGTGATTACAAGTCCCCACCACCAAGCCCAGCTAATTTTTGTATTTTTGGTAGAGACAGAGTTTTGCCATGTTGGCCAGGCTGGTCTCAAACTCCTGGCCTCTAGTGATCCTCCTGACTCCACCTTCCAAAGTGCTGGGATTATAGGCGGGAGCCACCGTACCCAGCCTACAAGTGATCTTTTCCATGAGCAATATGGCCCACTGAATCCAGGTGGACCAGCTTGTCACATCATGCCACAGAGCTTTCAGCCATAGCCTTAGCTGGCCCAATACCTTATTTTATTACAATGACAATTATAATGCTTCTGAACATTTGTATAGCACTTGGAAAATGTTACCACGCTGCAGGGAAAGGAGAATACACATAATGGCTAGGAAAATTGCTGAATTAGTAATCAGAAAACCTGGGTTCTGGCAATGACTGGCCATGGGTCATATACAAATACAGAATATCTA